GTGTACGTGTATCTATGTGAATGTGAATGAAGGCCGGGCGCGGTGGCTCAAGCCTGTAATCCCAGCACTTTGGGAGGCCGAGGCGGGTGGATCACGAGGTCAAGAGATCGAGACCATCCTGGTCAACATGGTGAAACCCCGTCTCTACTAAAAATACAAAAAATTAGCTGGGCATGGTGGTGCGTGCCTGTAATCCCAGCTACTCAGGAGGCTGAGGCAGGAGAATTGCCTGAACCCAGGAGGCGGAGGTTGCGGTGAGCCGAGATCGCGCCATTGCACTCCAGCCTGGGTAACAAGAGTGAAACTCTGTCTCAAAAAAAAAAAAAAAAAAAAAGTGAATGTGTGTACATGTCTGTTAGTACATGTGTGCCTGTGCGTGTGTGCATGTGTATCTGTGTCTATGGGAATGCATGTACATGTGTGCATGTGTCTGTGTGGGTGTGCCTGTGCACACCTGTATCCATGTGTCAGTACCTATCTGTGCAGGTATCTGTGTGACTGTGTGTGCATGTGCACATGTGTCTGTGTGTGGGAGTGTGCTGCAGCCTCTGTCAAGGCAGGGCAGGGAGGTCTCAGCCTGGCCATCATCTTCCCCACCAGGCACCCCCACATTGCACAGCCCTCCCCTCCACTGGGACCTTATCACCCCAACATCTGGGCCTGCATCCCAGCCAAGTGACTATCTTCAAGTGGGGACTCAGAGGGGTTTTCATTTCCACACAGGGTGCCCCTTCCACAGCTCTTCCTGAGGAATCCACAGGTCAGGGAAAACGTGCTTGGAGGGCACACGCAGTTTAGGACCAGCCAGCAACTTTCAAAATGGATGCACCAACATCCCATGCAGAGAATCCCTCACCACCAGCAGTGGGAGAGGAGAGAGACTGGGACAGAGAGAGAGACACAGAAGGAGACAGAGAAAGAGATGGGGAAGGGAGACCTGGCCTTGGAGCACAGGCGTGGCCATGTGTGGTGCGGGTACAGGTGTACTGCTAACCAGGCCAACCCTCAGGGAAGGTGCCAGCCCTTGGTGGATACCGCACTTTGTATTTCACATGAAGCCTGGTGATGGGATCAAGAACCACAGCCAGGATGATTTTCCTGCACACAAGCCAGGGATCAAAGTGCACAAACAGGCTCCCAGGCAGGCATGGAGGACCTGGACGGTAGGGCTGGGCTGGGATAACTCTCCAGTCTACGATCCTTTCTGGAATCATGGGTGACTACGGAGATCTTATCAGGTGCTGGAACCCGATGGCCTTAAAGGATTTAGCAAAAAGGTGATGGGCCTGGGGAGCTGGGGAGCTTTAGCAGAGACGTGGTGGGGAGTCACACTTGTCCTCTCTGAATTAGAAACTCAGAGACTCCAGGCTAGGAACCCAGCAGGGAGAGGCAAGGACAGGGAGAAAGAATAACAATATGTAAAGGAAAACAAGATAAGGAGAAGGACTGGGGTGGAGAGCAGGGAGGCCTGTGGGGGCAGCCCAGCCTGAAGGAATGTGGGGGGAGGAGCACAGCTTCAGCAGGGAGGGTTGGGGAAGCGAGAGGAGCGTCCCTGCCAGCAGAGCAGGGCTTTAAACCACAGGTGTGTGGTGAGGGCCGCAGCTTGGGAGGGGTGCTGTGCTTGGTACCTGCCTGCTGAAAGCCAGGGGTCTGTAGAGCAGGTGCTTCCCTCACAACCAGGAAGAAGCCCCACCGGGGGTCAGTGGGACACACTGCAGGCAGGTGAGCACACAGGTGAGCCTGGAGTCTAGGAGGGGTGCTGTGCTCAGTATCCACCAGCTGGAAGCCGGGGATCTACAGAGCAGACTCTCCCCTCACAACCAGAAAGAAGCCTCAGTGTGGGCCAGTGGGATGTGCTGCAGGCAGGTGGGCATGCAGGGACGCACACAGGTGAGCTTGGAGCCTGGGGAGCTGGCTCCAGCTGTCCCTTCCCCCCCTCGTAGGAGGCTGCCCCAGGGGAAGCTGCCAGGGCTGGGTAGGTGTGTGTTAACTAATGGGGGCTAGGCACTTCCACATCCTAAAGTGGCAGGGGGCTGGGGGCAGGTGAGATCAGTTCCTGAAGGTGGGCCCTGGCCTAGCTTGGACCACCTTCCCTACAACCACCTGTGGAGGACCACACATCAGGACCCTGGGCCTGGGGAGGCCAGGGACCCAAGGACGCTCTGACAGTCGCACTGCCAGGTCCTGGTCACCTCTTCAGCTCAGGCCACAGCCCTTGTCCTCAATCAGCCTCACCCCACAAAATGTAAAACAAGTGGCACTGCAAAGACAAGGCGAGCTCGGACCAGCATTCCTTGGGGAGCCCCTGGCTGTTGACGGGGGTGGGGGAAGCTGTGGATGACTTTCACGCCTTAGCAGGGAGTTGTGCTTGGACGGTCCCCTGGGGCCGGGGGTGTCCGGAGGGTGTGGCAGAGGATGCAATAGAGACTAGGATCCCCGGAGGGGCGGGCCTGCCGTGCGGGAGCCGGCTGGGACTTAGCCAGCTGCTGGACCCTGCCCCAACCGTGATCTCACCAGCAACCACCTGCCCGCAGTCACTGGAAACAGACAGCAAGCCAACAGCCAGATCCAGAAACCAGAGGGAACGCTGCCCCCAGAGAGGCAAGGGCTTGACCAGCACTGATCTCCAGGGAGGCTGGCAGAGGGAGAGCAGGAGGTTATCATTTGGCGAGGGGCAGGGAAGGAGGGCAGAACTCTGGGAACCGAGATGCTGCTGCCGTGAAAAGGAGCCGGCAGGGGCTGCTGGGGCCAGGCCGCCCCAACATCAAAGCCACACGCAGGAGGGTGAGAGGGACGAACACATCCCAGCATGAAACCATCTGACGCAACCGCAGTTGTACTAAAATCACGGGTCCTGAGTGCTGTTTTCATTTCCTTGTCTTCATTTCACACCTTTGTAAATAAAGTTATTAAATTAAAATCGGAAAACCAGGTCGGGGACAGGCTGCAGGTAGAACAGCACAGCATGCCCAGCCAGCGTTCGGTCCCATGGACACGGGCCCTGCGTTGCTGGGGGACAGCGAGGGGGGCTGCATGGGGCGCGGACCGTGGGGTGGGGGCGACCCTGCTGGTCTCAACTCCCCTCGCCAGCACGCCCCATGCCACAGTCCCGGCGCACGCAGAATGTTCCAGGTGAGGATGCAGATGAAGGGGACCCACCCCACAGCCAGGCGGTGACTCCGGGCGACAAAGTACACAGGCCCACGGCTGAGACAGGAAGCCCTCGGCCAGTGGCACAGGACGGGATTCATCATTAAAGAAACCGGAAAACAGGCCGGAGAGCGACCGGCCAGGCTGCATGGAAGGAGGGCAGAGGCCCGTGGGGCAGGGGATGCGGAGGGCAGCCGGGAACAGCGCCAGGCGCGTCACCTCTGCAGGGCTGAGCTATGCCCACAGGTGCACAGTGGCCGGCCCACAGCCTCACAGCTTCTCAGAAAAGCAGATCTGAGAGGGGTCAAGTCAACCACTAGACATGCAAGTGGAAACAGCCTCCATGGTCTCCAGAACCACGCCGTTAGCTCAGGGGGCATGATTGACTCCACCCAGGAGCAGATTTTAAAAGGACCATTCTAGCAGAACGGAAAACTTCGCTGTGAAATCACCCTGACTTCAGGGCGGGAGGGACGCCAGTGGGAATCCACACCTTCTCGGACTTTCCAAAGTCAGCAGCTCCCCGAGCCCGCAGGACCCGGCGGCCAGGCAGTCCTCACACCGGCTCCTGCGGGGGGCCCCGGGCGCCCCGCCTCCCCCAAGGACCTTCCTAACCGAGGGGCGCTGCGCGGGCACCGCGGGTCCTGAACGCACCCGCCGCTTCCCGGGGAGCACCTGGCAGCGAGGGGCCGCCCTCCCTCCCCTCCCGCGTGCGCCCCGCTCGATTCCTGGAATCATATTTTTGGACCTGCAGCTGCAACACTTCCCGCCCTCAGCCCTTTCGATTCCTCTTTCGGGAGGGGTCGCTCTGCTCCCCTCTCCGGGAGGACCGAGGCCCCTCACCTCCCGCGCGGCCGAGGGGGGGCGTCTGCATTTTAACCATTGTGTTTCCTCCGCGCTTGCAGAGCGGACTCCCGGCTTCCCCGCGGGGAGGCGTCTGACCGCGAGCGCTTCCTGGACAGCCCCGCGGCGTCCCCCGGCCCTGCCTCCTCCCGACCCGCGCGGGGCTCCTGGGGCCGCCGGGCAGGGGCGTGGGGGCGCGGGGCGGGCCCGGGGCTCCTGGCACCCCGAGGCCAGGCCCCGCCCGGAGAGGCTGGGGGCGCGCGGGGGGCCCGGCCCGCCGCCTCCCACCCGCCCGCCGGCCGCTCACCGTCTCGGGGTCGTTCTCGAACACCTCCCGCGCCTCCTCGCGGCTGCACAGCTCCTCCACGCACTCGCGCTCCAGGTGGCCCTGCTTGGCCTCCTCGAAGACCTGGTAGGCGCGGCGCTGCCTGGGCCGCAGGAACTGCGTGGCCTCGCGCGCCGGCAACAGCGCCGCTGCCGGGGAGAGACGGGGCCGCGTCAAGCCGCGCCCGGAGCCGCCTGCGCTCCCGGGGACGGGGCCTCGGGCCGCGGGACTCACCGAGCGCGCACTCCGGGGCCAGCAGCAGCAGCAGCAGCGCGGCGCGCAGGGCGGCGGGCCCGGGCGGGGGCGAGGGGGCCATGGCGGGCCGGGGACGCGCGGTCACAGCGCCCGGGAGGCCGAGGCGAGGCGCGGGCGCCGCGGGGCGGAGGCTCCGGTCATCCCGTCCTGGCGGCCCTGAAGGTCACATCGCGGCGGCAGCGGCAGCGGCGGCACCTCAGGCGCTCGGTCTGGGCGGGCTCGGGCGGCGGCGCGCGGGGAGGCGGCGGGGGCGGGCCCAGCGCGCGGGCGGGGCGCGGGCTCCCGGGAGGCTCCGGGCAGAGCGGGGCGTCCGGGGCGCGGGGCGCGGGGCGCGGGGCGCGGGAGAGGAGCGTGGCCCGGGCGGGGGGCGTCTCCACCAGCGGGGGGCGCAGGAGGGGCCACCCGGCTCCCCGCGGCAGGTACGTTCTGCCGCGTTCCCGCTGTCGTTGGGGAGCCTCGCATCCCCAGCCCGCGCTCCCCCCGAGCCTGCTGCAGCCTCTTCGGGGCCGTCATTCTCAGGCGCGGTTTGTCAAGGCTGAAAACCTCCCAAAGAAAAGATCCACGAGGTCAGATCCCATCCCACGGGGCGGGCGAGTGAAATGCGCTGGTTTCCTTTTGTAATCTGTTTTTCATGACGCTGACATTCACAGTCTTGGGGTTTCCCAGGAGGTATTTGGGCTGAAAGCAGCATTGTGCTTGTCTTCAGAGACCAAGACTTTCTGGCTCTTGCTTGGAATATTTCGCAAAGTCATAGGCAGAACACAGGCAAACGCACAGACCCGAAGCACGGCGGGCCGCTCGCGGGGGACGGGCCAGGCGGTTAGCCCGGCGTGCCCCGGGCGGGAGGAGGGAACTGGGGTGCTCCCCCCCGGAGAACCCTGCTCTGGAAGTCCCCACCCCGCACAATGCGCTGGAGAGGGGCAGTGAGTCAGCACCCCACCCCAGGTGGATGGCCATTTTGCCCAGCGCGCTCGACGCTGAGATTGTCAGATCGCAGTTTCTCTTTGCTTTCTGTGACTGGGAGGATGGAATGCGATTGCTGGTAGAAATCTTTGAGGTCGTTGGTCTGAAAGTGGATTTAATGATATGTTAATTTAGGCAGATGAGCGTCCGTGGGAATGATCTTCAAAAAGAATTTAAAATGGGATAGCGAAGTCATCGGCACCTGAGTCTAAACCAGGACTACCAGGCACGCCCATGCCAGCTGGTTACCGAAGCAGGCCGAGTGAGGGGTGCACCTGGGCTTCTGCCTTGCAACCACCGTGGCTACTTCAAAAGAATATTATTGCATTAACTTTCCTGCTTGTTCTTGAGGGTTAGGGTTTCAAAAATCGGATGGGGTGATACATGCTTTAGTCAGTATTTACACGGCTCCTTAATCACTTCATTGGACAAGTAGTTCATTGAGCACCCACCGTATACCACGCAGTGTTCAAGGCACTTCCAGTCATTTCCTAAGGGTAACAGCTGCCCGTGGATAAACTTCAAAGTGTGTAAACTCCTAAAAATTGTTCGTAATTAATTTCTGCACATTTTTGTCGTTTTGGGGAAGAGAGTTTATGGAGCTCATGCAATTCTTAGAATTATTTGATCCCTTTAGGAATGAGCTTCTCCAGCCTCTGCCTGCTCCTCTGGGACAAACTACACCTGGACGTGGGCACACTGCTTTGGGTCATTAGGTATCAGGAAGACCTCAGTTGGATGGAGCAGTTCCCCTGGCCTGCTTTTAGTCTGGACCCCCTGCTCATTCCTCATATTCTTATTTCAGCCTTTCCACTGAGTTACTGTCCCAGTAATGACAATGGCTCCCATCATGCAGAGACTTGTTTGATAAAAGGCATTCACATGCAACTGTTCATTTTGATTTCTATAACTGGGGAGTACAGAAAGCAAACCTGGGCTACAATGGAGGATGTCTCCATGACCCCAGATAACGCCAAAATCCTTAACCTCGTTGTCAGTGCAGGAAATTCGCTCTAAGGTAGACATGGAAAACAAATAAGAAACAATTTGGATGTGTTTCAAAAATGGAGAGAGTTGTCAGGCACTATATTATACAACCTGAACTAGCAATGATGAAGTAGACAGTTCACCTCCACAGCGGGCAGGAGCTTGGACCCAGGGCAGTGGATGTTTCACGCAGATGGTTAACCAGTCTGTGGCCATGAGGTGGAAAGCTGGTGGCTCCTCTTTTCAGGGGTAAGCTAGGATGAAGGGCGGAAGTGGGACAGGAGTGGGGTGTCTGTAGAGAAATGAAAGTTCTGCATTGCGTCTTCTGTCATTACTGCCAGTGATAATTCCATGGCAATCGGACCTTCCCTTCATCTGTACATACAATAAATGTGAGTTTAGCACCCGGTACTTTGTCTTAAAAGATGCTGTGTTAGGTACAGTCAATTGTGTAGTCATACTTAGCTTTTCTTTGCTTGTGTTTCAGACAGTTTTATTGAGGTGAAGTGGAAATACAGGAAACTACACGCAGATTTTGGCATATCTGCGACGTGTACACCTGTGAAGCCATCATCACAATCACGTTAGGGACTACATCCATCACCCAAAAAAGTGTTCTCATGTCCTTTGGTAGTTCCTCCTCCTAAATGTCCCCACTCCACCACGTATCCCAGTCCATAGAGAAAACCACTGACCAGATTTATATCACTGTAGATTTATTTGCTTTTTCTAGACTTTCATATAAAAAAGAATCATACTGTATGTATACTTTTCTGTCTTTTCTTCACTTAATGTTTACTTTCAGAATCATCTATCTTGTTGCAGGTATCGATAATGCATTCCCGTTTATTGCTCAGTAGTAGTCCACGGTATGGGCACAACACAATTTATCATTCACCTGTTGAGGGACATTTTACTTGTTTCTAAATTTTTACTATTACAAATAAAGCTGCTGTGGACATTTGTGTGTACATCCATTGTGTGGACATTGTGTGCACATGTGCTTCCATTTCTCGGGGGAAATATTTAGGAGCACAGTGTCTGGATCACATGGCAGGTATTTAACTTTTTAAACTGTTTTTCAAAGTAGTTGTACCATTTTACATTTTCACCATCAGTGCATGAGGGTTTCATTTTCTCCACATCCCCACCCATACTTTCTGTGGTCACTTTAAAAATTTTTAGTCACTCTCGTATGTATATAGTGGTATTTCATTGTAGTTTAAATTTGCATTTTTCAAATAACTAGTGATGTTGAACATATTTTATTGTGCTTATTGCCATCCAGGAATCTTCTTTGGTGAAGTGTCTATTTTTATCTTATTTTCTTTCTTTTCATTTACTTGGTGATATGATTTGGCTGTGTCCCCATGCAAATCTCCCCTTGAATTCCCACATGTTATGGGAGGAACCACTGGGAGGTAATTGAATCATGGGGGCAAGTCTTTCCTAGCTGTTCTCATGACAGTCCATCAGTCACACAAGATCTGATGGTTTTGAAAAGAGGAGATCCCCTGCACAAGCTCCCTTTGCCTTCTGCCATCCGTGTAAGACAGGAGTTGCCTTTGTGAGGCCTTCCCAGCCATGTGGAACTGTAAGTCCAATTAAACCTGTTTCTTTTGTGAATTGCCCAGTCTCAAGTGTGTCTTTATCAGCAGCATGAGAACAGACTAATATACTTGGGATGTTTGGTTTTCCAATTGTTGAGCTGTTTGTTGAGTTTTAAGGGCTCTATAACTATTCTAGAAGCAAGTCCATTATCAGATGTGTGGTTTGCAAATATTTATTTCTAGCCTGTGGCTTGTCTTTTCACTCTAATAAATGTGTCTTTAGCCAGGGGTGGTAGTGGGTGCCTGTAGTTTTAGCTACTTGAGAAGCTGAGGCAGGAGGATCTCTTGAGCCCAGGAGTTGCCTGGCCTGGGCAATAAAGTGAGACCCTGTCTCCAAGAAAAAAAGAAATAAAAGTATCTTTCAATGATCAGAATTCTTTTTTTTTTTTTTTTTTGAGACAGAGTTTCGCTCTTGTTACCCAGGCTGGACTGCAATGGCACGATCTCGGCTCACTGCAACCTCTACTTTCTGGGTTCAGGCAATTCTCCTGCCTCAGCCTCCCGAGTAGCTGGGACTACAGGCACGCACCACCATGCCCAGCTAATTTTTGTATTTTTAGTAGAGACGGGGTTTCACCATGTTGACCAGAATGGTCTCGATCTCTTGACCTCGTGATCCACCCGCCTCGGCCTCCCAAAGTGCTGGGATTATAGGCGTGAGCCACCGCGCCTGGCCAATGATCAGAATTCTTAATTTTGAAGTGCAACTTATTATCTTTTGCTGAATGGATTCTGCTTTTGGTGTCACATTTGCCTGACCCATAGTCACAAAGATTTTATTACAGATGTTCTGTAGATTCAGGTTTACCATTATGACGGTGGTCCATTTTGAATGAGTTTTTATAAATGTTGAGGAATGAATCAAAACGTGTGTATGTATGTATGTGCTTACGGAAATGCAGTCATCCCAGCACTATTTATTAAAAAGACTATTCTTTCTCCACTGACTTGCATTTGCACCTTTGTCAATAATCAATTGATAATATATTTGTGAATCTATTTATAGACTCTCTGTTCTGTCCCGTTTATTTGTCTCTCTTTAAAGTTAATACCACAGTGTCTTGATTACAGCAGATTCATAACAAGAATTGAAGTCAGGTAATGTGAATAGGTAGCGTAAATTCTGAAACATTCTTCTTTCTCAAAGTGTGAAGTTGTTTGGTTATTCTGTTTTCTTTGCATCTACATATGAACATTAGAATCAGCTGGTCATTCTCTACAAAAAGCCTGCTAAATTTTAATTGAGATTGCATTAAATCTATAGGTCAATTTTTAGAAAATGAACAGTTTAACAATATTGAAACTTGATCTTTGAATATATCTTTCATTAAGTCTTCTTAAATTCTCTCCACAGTGTTTCATAGTATTCAATGTGCAGGCCTGATATATATGTCATCAGATTTGTTCCTAAATATTTCACTTTCTTTGTCCTATTGTAAATGGCATTATTTATTTATTTATGTTTTTGAGACAAGATCTTGCGCTGTCACTGAGGCTGGAGTGCAGCAAGACAATCTCAGCCCACTGCAATCTCTGCCTCCCAGGCTAAAGTGATCCTGCCACGTAGCTGGGACTACAGGCATGTGCCACCACGCCTGAGTAATTTTTTGTATTTTTTATAGAGGTGGGCCTTTGCCATGTTGTTCAGGCTGGTCTTGAACTCCTGGCCTCAAGCAATCCAAACCCCCCTCGGCTTCACAAACTGTGGGGATTACAAGCGTGAGCCACTACATCTGGGTTTTGGCATTGTTTTTCATTTCAATCTCTAATTTTAAACATTTGACTTTTGTGTATTTATCTTGTATCCTGCAACTTTGCTTAATTCAATTATTCTGTTTTTTTGTAGATTCAATAGAATTTCTTCTTATATAGATAATCATACTATCTATAAATAAATATAGACACTTTTACTTCCTCCTTTCAAATCTGGGTGCTGTTTAATTCTTTTCTTGTCTGATTGCACTGCCTAATGACCTCTCAAGCAATGTTGACTAGATATGGAGAGTGTGTATCCTTGCCGTTGTTCCTGATCCCATGTGAAAATAATCCAGTCTTCCACCATTAAGTATAATGTTAGCTGTAGGCTTTTCATGATGCTCTTTATCAGGTTAAAGAAGTTCTCTTCTCTTTATAGCTTCCTGTAAATTATGTTTTAAAAATTAAGAATGCGTGTTAAATATTAGTTTTCTCCTGTATCTATTCTATTGAGATGATCATATGGTTTTTCTTTTTTCATTAATTAATCTGTAAATGACCTTGATTGATTTTTGAATGTTAAATCAAACTTTTTCTTTTTTTTTTTTTTT